CGAATACAGTTTAGGAATGTGCATTGTACGTGTATTTTTCCAATTTTCCCATCCCTCGGCATCGTTATTTGCAAATATGTGGAACGCTGGGCATTGACTGACATTTTTGTATTTTGTCATACTCTCTCCCCCCGTGACACGCACTACCTACGATGGGCTGTTATATCCGAACACCACAGCTAAAAAGCAATTCAACAAGGATGAAGCTATTCGGGAATACAAGCGACTGATCGGAAAACTGCCCTTGGCGAATCAATACCTATTATTATACGTCCTGGATCTTCTCACCGTTTTTGCGAGAAAATCGGACATCAATAAGATGACCGCGGGCAGTACGTCCGTCTCTGGCCCGACGCCTCATGGCGACTGACGTCCTTGTTACTTTGACCTTTTGCAGACCTCGCCGTCATATTTCGACCGGCAGTACTGAATCACCCGGGACACGAAATGTCACCAGAGCATCACAAACTGAGTCAAGAAGTGCTCGAATTCCTGATCGAGCACCAGGACTGGTTCATGCTCGACATTCCGCCGCCACCAAGACAAGATTCTATTCTCAACACCAATGCCACCAACCAAACCAGCGCACATCGGTCAAAAAAGCCGTTTGGTCTGATCACGAACCGTGGGCCAATGTCTACAAAGGCGGAGCCTGCGCCAGTGATGATGATGGCGACGACGACAAACGAGCCAGACGACCTGAACGTGTACGTCGGTCCAGCCTCTGATGAAGAAGATGACGGTGGATGGCGTTTGGCAGGTTCGACGAACGGGACGGCGACGTTGGGACGACGACGCACCTTTTCGGAGAGGGGATCGCCACGGATGATGACGGCGGACGAACAAGGCCGTATGGGAGGTGATGGAAGGAAGAGTGTGGAGAATATCTCCCAATCTGCACCGAGTACCTCATCCGCCTTTAAACAAGCCACCAAACAGCTAACTCCTGTTAGAGAGGGCAGCTCCGGCGATATTGACGCCATGATGGTCGATTTGACGACGACAACGACGACGGCGCAGAAGGAGAATGTGGTCCCGGCTGGTAGTCGGAAGGTGACGGGGGGAAGTGTGGAGGTGCCGAGTGCGGAAAGTTCGAGCAATGAGAGACGCGCCAAGTTTGACGACACAAGATTAGCAAAGGACGACGCGATACGGGGGGATGATCGGGAGAAACGAGGACGAGCGAGTTCAAAGGGGACGGGCCTGTTTGGGAGCGTGAGGAGGAGTCGGACGGTGGAGGGTACCAGTAATATGGGGACGAGTGCTGTGGCGGCGGCTGCGGGAGGAACAGGGCCTCAGCGGCATGTACTAAAGAAGAGGAACTCGAGAGGGGAGGTCGAGCGGTGATGACAATGTCACTCTAGACTCCTTTCCTCGTGCTCTTTCTCCGACACGATGCCAACGACGGACAAGACATGAAGCCCACGATACTCTTTACCACACACTCCCGTACACGCCCGGAACGTCCCTACCCCCTTGACGTATTTTGACGCCTCCAAAATGTCCCTCGCCAACGTTCAGCAACGGAAACACGCTCTCTATATGTGCAATTTCTTTTCTTTTACTAGGAAACTCGCTGCTTTTATACCTCAAGACTTGTTTGTGTTCAAACTGTCGATTATCTCAAATAATGGCCGATACAGAAGGGAGTGCGCTCCCTTATGGACCTGATATTTACCTTTTCCTCCTCCTCCTCCCCCGTTATTCGTATTGGGTTATTCCACCCCATGTCTCTCTCCTTTTCCCTCCCCTTCTCTCTCTGTGTGCGCCTCCTTCTTTGTCCGAGCGTACATTCCAAGTTTTTTTTTTACAAGTACACACTCCTCCATGCGAATTTCTGGACTCTTATTTTCTGAGTCGATAGCATACCCTGTTCTGCCTGACTATCGACTCGACTCCTCGTTAGCTTCCTAATACCAAATTGTCTAGACCAGGTACATGTCTTCCTACATGCTCCACATGTTCATCTTCTTTTCAAGAGAGAAGGTGCATCTCTTTTACGCTACGCCACTCC